AATAATTGATAATACTTCGTTTTTGTCTGTAGGTTTACAAACATTGAATTAAGATTAGGATTTTTAAGCTATTTATTAAAGTCAGTATTAGATTAGTAGATCTTATTCTGTAAATCTTCCGGAACTGAAACAAAGAATGAATTAAAAGATTCCGAAATTTTAATGGGGTCGTATATCATGGAGTTGGTAGAAGATAAGCATGAAGAAGATGAGTTAACTCTTGAACTAATGTTTAAAAGGTTCTTAATACCATCCCATGTAGATTTCAAAATTTTGGCATTGTCAGAGAAGAACTTAGAGTAATGGTTCTTTTTACTACGACGGGTGAGAGTAACAATTAAGTTTCTATATGTTTTATAATGTATTTCTAGATTGAGTTTGTTATTAGGATATTTTGCTTTAAGAAATTTGTTAAATATTTTTATTTCGCATTTTAATAGAAGTCAAGATTCGTTGTGTTATCCAAGGTTTGAGACCCCTTGATAAGCAGCGATTGCTGACTTTTTTTAATGGTGCATGTTTATCTAAAAGAGAATTGAAACTTGAGAAAAACTCTTCAAATGACTTATTAGTCTTACCTTCGTTGACATTGATTACATTAGTTCAGCTAATTTTTGAGAAATCACTTCATAATTCGACGCAATTTATTTGTTTTAAATTTCGACGAAAAATGCGGCTTTTACGAGTATTAATTTTGGTTCTATAAAATGGATGTATTAAAAATTGGTGTAAATGATCTGATACCGTAGAAGTAAAATTACCTGCAAAAATATTTGTAGAAGTTGCATTAGAAAATATGTTATCATTATTAAATTTATCATTATCAAAATTATCATTATCATTATTAAATGTTATCATTATCAAAATTAGAGTTTTGGAATGATTTGTGATTCTTGTTGGCAATGAAATAAAGGGAAGAAAGTTATTTAAAGCAATAGTGTCTAAAAATTCATAGACAGAATTATCTGAGTTCGCTAATAAATGATCGACACTAAAATCGCCCATTAAAAAAATTGATTTTTTTTTCCATAGATAGCTTTTCAAAAAGTGGAATTAAATATGGTTTAATAAATTCTGAAATATCCATACTAGGATGGCGATAAATACAGCCAATAATGATGTTTGATTTTTTAGGAATTATGATTTCCACAAACACAGATTCTAAAAGCTTTGGTTTAAGCATATTAAGATCATTTCGAAGTTTGTAAATTAATGTATTCGATATATAAAGTAAAGCTCCTCCAAAATAAGATTTTGTTGGAGTGTGCTCATAAACATAACCGGTAAGATCTAATGGGATAGTTGGTAGAATGTCATTTTTTAGTTTAGTTTCAGTTATGCCAATAATACTGAATTTATGATTAATAAAAGATAAAAGTGAGTTTAGTTCGTCAAAATTTTCAACAAGAGAAGCAATATTTAAATAAAAAAGAGAAAAATTATTTTTGTCAATGTTAGAAGATAGTTGAAACTTTCTATGTCCATATATTTACAATTAATAGGGTTTCCTTCGAGGTTTACGTCATTGTCATTGTTGTTATTAAGTCGATAGGAAATAAAATCATTAAGTTCATTATAAAGATTAGACTGTATGGTGTTTGGGAAAGATGATATGTTGTTTTCGAATTCATTAATATGAATCACTTTACCATTTATTGTTTGCAGTTGCAGCTCCTTATCTGATAAAGTACTGAATGGAAAAATTTTTTCCATCATGAAATACAGAACCAAGATGTTTTAGAGTTTTTCAATATTCTAAATTCAATATCATTCAGACGACAACATTTTTTTATGAAAAAGGTTTAGGCAATGATTACATTGAAGGTAGTGATGATTTTTATTAATTTTCTTGAAGCAATCTTTGCCGTGAGTAGACATTTAAGTGGTACAGTTTATAAAATGAAATGATTGAATGAACTGAAATAAGGAAACAAAGAGTAATATGAACAGCAATATAACCAAAAATAATAAAAATAATAATAGTATTTATTAACATTATAAATATAATTCAATTGTAAAACAAAATAGTAAAACAAAAATAATATTTATTTAACAGTTAAAATAAATAATGAAAAAATACTATTAATAAAGTAAAAGAAGAATAACGTAAATATATATTTAAAAAAAGTTATAATTGGTTAAATGATAAGTTGTAAGTATAAAATAAAAAAATTTATATTAAAATAATAATAAATTATAAATGATTATAAGTAAAATATTATAGTTATAATAAGTGAAAAATATAATAATAAATTATTAAGTTTATACTTAGTATTATAAGTTAATAAGTAAAACTATAGTAACTAAGCTAACAAACTATATAGATATATAAAAATAATAATAACACTTGTAGCAATAATAATTATTATAATAACAATAATAAAAACAATAATAAGTATATATAATAATAAAAATATAAGAAAAAAGAAAAAATTAATGAAAACAAACAAGAAAAGCTAGAAAAAAATAATAACAATAATATTCAAAAATAAGAGTAATTACATTAAATTAAAAGCATATTTTGAGATAAACAAACTAAATTCTTCTAAAGTTTCATATTGGTGTTTGTAAAGACATTGATATTTATCTAGAAAGTTGTAAAGTCTGTTGTGCATAGATTTTTCAATTATTTTACTAATGTTTGACAGAAGTGAAATTGGGCGATAGTTAGTGTGGTCAGTTCTAGAGCCTTTTTTGAAATCTGGAAAAAGTCCATTTTCAAAAAAACTATTTATCATTGTACAGAGAGGCTTCGAGATGAAATGGGAAACAAGTTTGAGAAGAAACGTGGAAATACTCTTGATACCTAAACTTTTTTTACTTTGTAAACTTTTTATAAGAATTGATACTTTATTTTCAGTGACTGAATCTATTAAAAAGGAGTTAATATTTGGGTTATTTAAATAGTCTGAAAATTATATTTAGGTGAAACAATTTTTGTTAACAGTGTTTGTTGAGTATTTACAAAGCAATTATTAAATATGTTTGATACAGCTTTGCTGTCTGAAATTGTATTGCCATTAAATTTGAGATTAAAAGACTTACTGGAAAAGCAAGGTTTGATATTAATAATTTATTTTATACCTTTCCAAGTGTTTTTTACATTGTTAAGAATATTGTTAAACAATTTGATGTAATATGATTTTTTAGAAAGTCTTAGTAAATTGCAAATATTATTTCTGTACTAAATAAATTATTAAAAATATGAATTTTAATGTTATGATTTTTTGCTTTTTATACTGTTTATAAAGTTTGTTTTTAATATATATTGATTTTAGAATTTCATTGGTGATCCAAGGTTTTGATTTAAGTTTAATTTGTTTAGCAGTTAGTTTTTATAGGGTGCATGGTGATGAAGAATGTTTTTAAAAGTTTTAAAAAAATAGTACAATAATTTATTGATATTATTGTTATTTGTAATTTGTATTTGCCATGATATTATTGTTATTTGTAATTTGTATTTGCCAGTCTGCATTAAAAATATCCTGATTAAATTTTTTTATTATCGAAATATTGGAAAGTTCGTCTGAATATTACCTCCTTAGTTTTTTTGGGAGAAGGACAAGGAATACAGATAAACTGCACCATATGATCAGAAATTGATGTTGTAAGATTGCCTGAAATTAAATCAGGAGTTTGGAAATTTAAAAAGATATTATCAATGAGTGTCTTAGATGTAGCAGTTATACGTGTAGGCTGAATTATAGAAGGGAAAAAAGAATAAGAACATGTATCAAGATAACTAGAGATAACTTTCGATTCATTATAACTTAACAAGTCTATATTGAAATCACCCATAAGGAAAACTTGTTTATTTTCTAAACTAAGTCTCTCAAGCAAGGGATTAAAATGACCAGTAATGAATTCATTAGAGTTCATTGATGGATGTCGATATATAGCACCAACAATAATATTTTTTTTCAGGGGATTGATGATTTCAACAAAAATAGATTCCAGGCATTTCGGAGAGTATACTATTAGATCACTACGAATAAAATAGTTTAAGTTTGAGCGTAAATATAGAAGAGCACCACCAGTAGGACTATGTTTAGGGTTCGGCAACATGCATGCATGCATGCGTATGTCATACATTACATGCACATGCACATGCATGCATGTACATGCGCATGTAGATTAAGCTAATAAATCAAATTTTATGCAAATCAATTGTGTTGAAAAACAACATAAAATTAATTTTCTAATACTTCTAGTCGTAAACAACTTCAAAAACTTCAAGTTTTAGATTTTATTCAATTTCAAATTCAATAATTAGCTGCAAAATACACTCAATCTATGATAACTTTTTATGTCTTATTCTGCAAATTCTCGCTCAAGTTCTTCGATCATAGCTCCTTCATCTTGTATATAGTCGTTTTTGTCACGAGTATCCATCAGTACGTTATTTGTATATAGAAAAACTAGCTTCTCTACTCGTTCATTTGTTAGACGATTTCGAAGGCGTGAATCAATAAATCTGAAGATCGACCAAGTTCTTTCTGCTGCAGCTGAGGTGCATATCATCTCATTGATGGAAACTGCCACTTGATAAAGTTACGGATACTTGTTGCGACCTATAATGCTCCAATAGTTTTTTGCGCTCATTTTGTAAATTGTATACTTTCGTTTCTGGGGCAACGTAGTCATTTCTCCACTAAACTCGATCAGTTGTTCTCGCACTTTGTCAGCAATATCCGGATGAATTTCGCTTGTTCGATCAAACGTGGCTGTAATAATGTCAATTTTGTCATCTCCAAAATAAAAGCCGTCTGCTGCGTGCTTTGGCGTAAGCATGTAAGCTAGTCTAACTTTCCCAAACGAGTCCAAAAGGCAGGGGATTTGATTAAAGTCAGGACTGCTGCTGATGTGGTTTTGGGTTGAATTTCTTTTAATGCGTCGTTTTCCTCGTCAGCTAGCTTGGTCAAAACATACTTGGAGAGAAGAAGAGAGTTCATTACATTGTACAAGCTAAACCAGCGTGTAGCAACAGGCATGCAGAGAGATTAAGTGACATTTGCTGTACGTCGATATTCATCAAACATCAACTTGACCATATGGTGGTTTTTGATGAACTTGATAATTTTTTCCGACTCTTTGATTGTTTTTGCAGCTTCTGTGGTAATGGCGATGTCTTTAATTAATAGATTTATGCCGTGACCGCTACAACCACTTGCTGAGATGTGTGGGTATGTTTCATTGATTATCTTCCATGATGACTTCATAACAGGTGCATTATCAGAAATAAAGCTGCAGAACTTTTGTGAACCAATCTTGTCGATGACTTGGATGATAGCTGCAGCAACTGCAACTGAGTTCTGAATAATTCCGGAGGTATCGATAGATGAATAAAAAATAGCTTTTTGACCCGGTGCCTTCACGCAGAAATTAACGATGTGATCACCTCTGATGTTTGTCCAACCATCTGACATCAACGTTAGATTACCGTGAGATTGGATGATTTCATCGACAGCAGCAGAGCACTTATTAACGTGCATATCGAGCAGCGGTCCTGATAAGGTCTTTGCACTCGGCATAGCAGCTGCGTATGCTGGATTGAGCGCATTAACGAAATCCTTGAATGCATCAGATTCAACTAGTCGTAGAGAAACGCCAGTTCTATAGAAGTAGTTTGATAATTTCATGTCAACATCTGCCTTCCATTCTCCATTTGTTGTGTCAGCTACATGTGAAAGCAATTCTTGTGAGGCTTGCATCGGTTGAGTGTGTTCATTTTGAGAGGATGTGGAAGGATGTGCTGGTGATTCTGATTTGCGTTTCGAAAACAGTCGTTTTTCTTCGAGACTGGCATTTGGACAGGATGATCTCTTGTGTGCTGCAAGACGTTCTTTGGACCACTGGACACGTTTATCACATAATTTGCACTTGCTATAATTAGTTTGACGATTGTAATCAGTTAAATATTTTGCGACTTCGATTTGACTCATTAATGCCTTTTTCTAACGAGAAACAATTTTCTAATTAAATGTATATGATTTAAATGTATGCAAATCATTACTTACGATAGTTTTTGAAGCAAAATAATAGAGAAAAATGAGTCAAAACTTAAATTAACTTTAAAAATATTTCAAAAGAATGACCTTATTAAATTTAAATTTTTTGTTACCGTTAATCTACATGCGCATGTACGTGCGCACGTACATGCGCATGCATGCGCATTTTTAACATGCGCATGCATGCATGCATGTAAATTTCCAAACCCTAACTATGTTCAATAGTAAAACTATTTATATTAACATCAGTTGTACTGGAATCGTTAATATTTAAAAAAAAAAAAACGTTTGGAGCATCGCATACTTTTTACTTTCCTTAAAAACAAGCTTTTCTTATAAAAAAAAAAGGTTTCCCAAACTTGCCAATATTGCAAGACGCCCCACTGGTTAGTACGCCATCATAGGAAGAAGTCATCATTTTCATTAAAACAAGCTATGTCTGTCTTATTTAGAAAATAAAAGTAAGAATTTCACTAAATGCATAAAACTTGGGTAAAAAATGCATGAAAATTCCCTTTCTTTACAGTCAGTAATAAAATCACAATCTTAAATATATGAAGGGAATAAAACTACAACAGCACATCCCAAAATCAATTTTTGCTGGTTATAAAAACATTATTTGTGCACAAGGAACGTATTTCCTCTAAAACTAATGTAAAGTCAGTATAGCCATGTAGATTTAATTACTTTTTAACCAAAACTAATTTTTATGGAAATATGACCGGTATGCCATCATTGGCGCTATGCCATCATAGGCACCTTTCTCCTTATCACTGTATTATGAGATAAAATTTCCACAGGTGGAAAAAAAGGCTACACCTAACAACTTATAATAATAATTTGGTTTTTGTTTTTTCTTTTTTCTGATGGTGTCAACTAATCTATTTATCTTTGGATAAAGTTTTCTTAAAGCCAAACAGTTTAACATTGAAATCCACGCAATATCTACAATATATTGTATCATAAGATCTATCTTGTAACGTCAAATACTAATACTTTCATTGATCACTTTATCTATATTTTATAAATATAGATTCTCCAGTAATCATTTAAATAAAAGTAATTATTTTAATGTAAAATATTCATTTAATCATAAATGAAATATTTAACTAATTTTAAAGTAATTTATTTATTAGATATTTTATATATATAATATATAAATAAAATTCAATGCGTGAAAAAAACTTTAGACTTATTAAAGAAAAACGGCAAACTTTTTTTATTGTAGTTATTTTAGGTGCTCCGAGAAGCCCTTACGGTCTTATCATAGAGCTCCGCGGAAGCAAACTTACATTATCAAGTTTTGATAGAACTCAAAAATATCTAAAACGACAAAAAATTTTAAAAACTCTACTTAGAAAAAAAAACCTACCCTATTAAACTACAAAAAAAAAAAATACTAAATTTTATTTACATAATAAATAAATAGTTGCAGAAATCTATTTTTATGTGGGAACAAAAGAATCTCAAGTTACTTGCATTTATCTGCAAACCTTTCAAACCTTTGTAAATCTATTCTAGCGGCTAAACGTGTTGACGATAACAGTGCTTCTACAGGTTTTTAGTTGACCGGAGACTTTATTTATCCGAATATAAAATGGGTTGATGATATCTTCATTGGTACACGTTCAGATCTAAAAAGTTGAGAATTTCATTTCACAGAAACTACAAACGACTGCTTTTTGTTACAAGATGTATTTTTTCCAACATTTTAAAAGACGGATAAAGATTCGACTAACATTCTTAATCTTATATTTATAAAAAATCCAAATCGTGTTTCTGAACTCACATCAAATCCTCCTTTAGGTAAAATTGTCCATGCACATATGATATTGACTTAGAACTACTTGGTAAGCGCTAATAATATCAATAAAAAATTTATTTCAAGTTATATATAAAAAAAGGTGATTATGATAAAGTGATTAATGAAACTAATTAATGAAAAAAAACAAATACGGTCTAAGTTTATTGCATCAGGCAGAAATAATCTCGAATTATTAGCAAAATATAAACTTATTAAAACTAAGACTCGATATTCTATTGAATTAGCTTTGAAACAATTTAACATGACTTAGCTAAAAGTTCTAAATCAGATCCTAAGAGATTTTATGCGTATGTGAACAGCAAACAAAAGTATAAAGAAGGAATTCGCACTTTAAGGTTTCCAGATGAAATTGTGAGTGATAATAATTTAAATATTACAAATTTGCTTAACACATATTTTCAATCTGTATTTACTGAAGACGATAACAAAGCTTTACCGAGTTTTGATTCTGTTACTCAAATCACGGGATAAATACAAATCCTGTGGAAATGATCGAATCCATCCGTATCTACTAAGAACCTGTTCTTTAAGTATGAGTATTCCCATTGAACATATGTTTAAGCTATCACTTAAATTGGGAGTTCTACCAAAAGCATGGATAGACTCAAACATAGTTCCGTTTTTTAAAATCGCGATAAGCTTGATCCTTTTAACTATAGACCTGTTTCTCTCACGTCAGTTATATGCAAATTTCTAGAAAGGATATTAAAAAAAAAACATCATTCGGCATCTTTTAAACAATAATTTGATAAATAAGAATCAGCATGGTTTTTTACCAAGTAAATTTTGCTTTACAAATTTACTTGAAAGCCAAGATATTGTAACTCTAGCAGTGGATCAGGATTATCATATTGATACTCTTTATACTGACTTTTCTAAAGCATTTTCAACAGAGTTCACCATAAAAAAACTTATATTAAAAATTGAAATGTACGGCATAAAGGGGTTCATTCTTTAATAGGTTGAATCTTCTTTATTCAATAGAAGACAAAGAGTTGTCTTTGAGGATACTGCTTCTACGTGGCTTAATTTTTTAAGTGGTGTAGCGCAAGGCTCTGTTTTGGGACCAGTTTTGCTTTTAATTTATATCAATTATCTTTCGGACAAACTAAAAAATAAATGCAAGCTCTATGCTGATGATTAGAAAGTTTTTCACATAATTCGTGAGAACAGTAGTAATCATCTACAAAATGACATAAATTCTATTTTTAGTTGGTGAAATGACTGGAGTATGCAACTAAATATAGAAAAATGTAAAATAATGTAAACAAAAATAATAAGTTTATGGTTATCAATTGAGTACTGCCGATTGTGTAAATGATCTTGGTATCATGTTCAAAAGCAATCTGAAATATGATCATCATATATCTGCGTGTGTTTCTAAATCAATTAGAATTTTAGGTCTTATTCTATACACGTTTTTATTTTAAAATGCTGATACACTTAAATTGTTATATGTTTCGCTAATACGCCTTCATCTAGAATACTCGTCTTCTATTAGAAATCCATTTTTATAAAAAAAGATATTAATCTTATTGAAGGAGTTCAACGTAGAGCAACAAGACTATTTCCAGGATATTTAGAGCTTCTTTATGAGGAAAGATTAAATTGACTTAATTTAACAACCATATGAGAAGAGAAAGAAGCGATTTAATTAGTTTTTTTAAATGTCTTAATAACTCTTATCAGCTAAATTCAGTATCTTATCTAAGAGCTTTTGTCGACCAACTGGACCAGCTGGAAGTGTTCGTGACTGTATCCATAATCATAGATATACTTCTGAGACCTGTAGACACTCGAATAGAAGAAACTTTGTTCCAATCATATTATTCCAGTTTGGAACAATTTGCTGTTTGATTTCGAACTTAATAAGTTAGTGTTAAACTTTAAAAAAAGTTTTGATGAACTTAAGTATTTGAATTAAAATTTTAAGCATCACAGCTCTTAAATTCTTCAAAATACCTAAATTATATAAAATGCTGCTTACAAAAAGAGTAATATGAGTGAAAGTTAATGGGTTTTTAATTTATTTTAAATAGTTTAAAATATATATAGATTAAAATATAATTATATATTCTATAAATTCAATAACTTTTTTTTTATTCGGACAATTTGAATAAAAATTCCTAATATTTTACAGAATAATAGCAATAACTTTTCCCAATATCTCAAAAATATAGTACATAATATATTCCTGGCGCACCCTGATGTAAGTTATATTGATATATTTTACAAATACCAAATATTCTTGGGTATCTGTAAAAAATATCAATATAAGTAGTGATAAATTAGTAAAAACACTTATCTATTTTTTTCCTTTTATTCTGAGTGCCACCATTAAAGGATCTTCAGGAAAAGTACAAGAAAACAATATATATATATATATATATATATATATATATATATATATATATATATATATATATATATATATATATATATAATATATATATATATATATATATATATATATATATATATATATATATATATATATATATATATATGTATGTATATATATATATATATATATATATATATATATATATATATATATATATATATATATATATATATATATATTATTTATATACTTACTATTTATATACTTATAGACGATAATAATTATAAACTTTTATAATACTAACTCAGCATGCAATAAAAACATTGAACTGAGGGATAAAATATGATAGTATATAAAATATGATATATGAGGGATAAAATTTAGAAAAAAGAAAGTAATATGAGTATACTAAAATTTTTTTTTTCTGGATTTAGTGAAATAAATTTCTACAGTCAACAGCCCTATTTTTAAAATATCTATCTCTTTCACTCTATAACAAATATGAATATATGTAAAACTATAAACTAATTGTTAGTGTGATCTATTTTATTTAAATTTTCAAACAAAAAAATTTATACTTGCGCAATAGAGTGGCAGAGCCTCTTAGCTAGCAATATCTGAGTCATTGACTCATTAATAATAATTGATTTTTTTTTTACGACCTCCATTGGCATGCAAATACTTTTTTTTATATTTTATAACTATGACATCATTAACGAAAGGTCTTCTAACTCGTTTAAGTTTTTCTTTAAAAGCATGAACCAG